CTCCTCCCCCGTGCAGCACAGTGAACCGTTTGTTTCTCCTCCGTGTCTGCTGCCAGTGTCTGTGCCAATCCCCGGGTCAAAATAAGCTTTTCTGAAATGTGCCATATTGTGGGTCCCAAGCCTCCGGCGCAGCAGAGGACAGCGATCCTGCCAGAGACGTGGGGGAGGAGACAGCAGGCTGGGGCCCGGGTGACCACCCCAGGGGCGGGTTTCCCTGCCCCCGCGGAGGGTGAGAAGCTGTCTCCTGCCCCCACAAAGGGAGCTAGAGACCCAGGCCGCTCGCTCCTCAGCCCCTGCCCTGCGGACGATGGGATTATACCGGGGGCTGCCGGGGAAGGGATGGAAGCAAACGAGGCCTAGGAGTCTCAGCACCTGAGCAAGATGCAGGGGAGGGAGGCGAGGGAGGGCCGGCAGCTCCTGGGACCACTGGGACCAAACCCTTCCCTTCCGCCAGCCGCAGGCCCCCGCTCCCCCGAGCAGCCCTAACCTGCCCAGGAGGAGGGCACCCCTCCCTCACTGCCGCTCGCAGGGGGGTTTAACTGCCAGTTTCCCCTTCCCCAGCCCTAAAACCCGCCATAATGCTCCCTTCCTAGGGGCAGGGGAGAGAAAGGATGAATTCTGTCCCCCAAAGCAGCGTCCGGCCCCAACCAAGGTACCAAGAATCAGCGTCTACTGCCCCCCACCGAAGGACTGAGAGGCGAGGACCCCCGGTCCCCCCCAAACACGTCCCCCCACCCCGCAAGCCCCGTGAGCTCCCAGAGAGACGACAGGCACTGACCTGTGATGTTCACACACCAGACACCCGAGCCCCGTTATTTGTTCGACCCCCCAAGGAGTCTCTCCACACCGTCACGGTCAGACGACCCCCCGACAGCAGCCACTGCGGACACAGGACCCGGCTCCACACACCCCCTCCCCACACAGCAGCGCGCAGCCTCTTCGGCAACCGAGGACCAGGGGAGGGGGCACGCAGTCCGTCCACAGGAACGCGGAGGCGACGGCGAGGCTGCTCCGAGTGTCTACGGCCCCTCTGCTGCCGCTCCCGAACTCAGACGCGGTTTCCGACCGGGCCCCCTGCGCTCGCTCAGTGTCACTGCCTCTGGCTCTGGGAAAATGGCGGCACGGCGGCGGCGGCCGCGGCGGCGGCGGCGGCGGCGGCGGCGTCCGCGGCGTCCAGTGCACGGGGCTTGCCCGCCCCGCTCCGCAGGGGCAGAGGGGGAGGGGACGGAGCTGCCGGCCGCCATTTTGCTTATGGGCTGCCACCCTCCGCTGTTGCCTCTCCAGAGGCTCCAAGACAGGCACCTGGAGGCCGAGAGGGGGACTGAATCTCCGTCTTTTTTCACAAAAGATGCATTCCACAATTCACCCAAGGTTTGGGGAAGTTTCCGTGTCTGGTGGGATGGATTCTTGACCCCTTTCCCCCGAGTAGCCCTCAAGTCTGGAGGTCGGTGAGCTTGGGCATGCCACGACTGGATGGGAGCATGATGCCTGCAGGCCCCGGGGACGACCACCTCCTCCCAGCACCCTCCCAAGTCAGGGCACTTTCTCCCACGCTCCGTCCCGGCCTTCCGCTCCCCCCACCCCATCTGGCCTCCAGCGCTAGGTGAACTCGGGGTGTAAAATGACACCCACTGGGGGCCGAGGCGGCTCCAGTGCGCAGGCTCTGGGCACAGGATAAAAGCGGAGCTGGCGAGTCCAGCGCCGTCTCGATGGAGGAGCGAGAAACGGAAGAGGTCGGGGGGAGCAGTAAGAAAAACACAGCCACCGTCAGCGCCGCCTCCCTGCCACCGTGTATCGGGGTAAAACGCTGTCGTCGCTGTCGGTGCAGTTGCTGTCGCTGCCTCCTACTTCTCTTAGCCCCGGGGAAGGATTTCCCCGCCGAGGGACAATGCGGGGAAGGGAGCGGGAATTCCTGTGTGTGGTGGTGATTCAGTGGGGGAGGGGCAGACGGTTATCTCGAAGAAAAAAAAGGACAAGGCCAGAGAAGAAAACATGGGTACCCCGCACCCCTCTAAAATGGCACGGTGATTCCCGCTCTTGTTTTCGGGGGGTCTTTCCCCGAAATGGCGGTTTCCCGTCTTGTCCTTGCCTCACAGCGACCCGAACGTCTGGGTAAACCGAGTGGGGAGAGGCAGAGGCGGTCCATGCAGCCAATCAGTGCGTGGCGTGCTCTGTCCGGCGCGCTGTGATTGGCTAGCGATGACTTCATGCTGCAGCAGCGGGTGGGGCTAGAGCCCGGAGGGAGGCTGTTGCAAAGGCAGAGTGGGAGCAGTGACGGCGGTGTCGGTTGCTGCCGCGCCGATGTGGAACCCCACGCAGTGGCGAAGGGAATCTCAAGGCTCTTCCCTGACATTTTCTCCTGTCCCTGCGCGAGGTGAGGGCCCCGGCTCGGCCTCTGCGGAACTTTGGGGCGCTGGCGCGGACGAGGAGACACAATTGCTCCCATGACTTTTGTAACTGCGTCAGGGCAAGATGGCGCCGGGCCTCCTTGGGGCGCGGGGGGTGTGGGGGGGGGAGAGGCACGTCCACCGCCGTCGCAGCGCATGTGACTGGGCTGCATTCCTGTGGGGTTTGGCCGGGACCCAGGCCGGGGCGGGGAGGGGAAAGGGCTGGGGCGGAGGAGACGGGCGCGGGTGGCTTTGGCGACCTGAAGAGGAAGAAATGACTGTTTGCGTGCTTCCCCTCCCCCGCGCGGCTAACAGCTGCCGCAGCGGGGGGCCGGGCGGGACGCTCGTCGCGGGGCGGGGCGGGGCGGCGTTGGTGGAGGAGGTTTGGCGCCCCGTTTTGTTATCGGCCCGTCTGCTTGCACAGCATCCTTAGCAGGAGGTGGCAGGTCCCTGAGGTGGAAGTTTGAATCCCCTGGGAGCCCTGGGAGCCGCTAGACCTCGGCCACCACGCAAGGAGTATCGATTATTTTCTGAAAAAACAAAGTTTTTCAGACCGAATAAAAAAATAGTCCCTAAGTTTGGAAGCAGGTATAAGTAACACCCAGGAACACTTTTAATTTTATAAAAGTTACCCAAAAAAGGACTGTATCTGAATTTTGAGGGCCCCTTTCAAACGTTCTGTACATTCCACCTGTACTTTTCCCGTATCTTCCCTGTCTGTATATTCGACAAGAATGTTCAATGTTACCAACGGATTTACTTTTCTGTTTAAATTTAAGCATGATTAGTGATACAGAATAAAATCTGCTAGTGTAATCTGAAGTTTTAAGGCTGTTTTCAATACTTGTATGTTGTCTTTCTGTCTCCCTCTTACCTATAGTTTTTTTAAAATAATGAAGTTGTCAGTTGGTGAATATTAAGATTCCTGCACCACTATAAAACATTAAAGCCTTCTTTAAATCACTTTTGTGGAGGTGTGAATTTAGTTTTAGAAACCTTGCTAGGTGAAGGTAAGGTCTCCAGCAATTTAAAAATTCTTAAGGCTTAAATTGGCATATCAATAAGAAAGACTCACTTTGTTTTTTATTATTCCCACTTGGCCAAACTAGTCTAGTAGCCATTACCTAAACTAGTGAAGAGTTAAAAGACTTCTTCCGATGGAGTCCACTGAGAGTTGGGAGTTACTCATGGAGTACATGTGCACGTGAACCCTCGCTTGCTTTTTGAGGGAACCACCTCTTACTTGATGCCAGGGGAAATGTTTGCTGAACCTGAAAAGATAAGTGTAACCTGGACCTGAGGTTGTGCTGTTCCCTTTAGTCTTACTTGTAGACTTCGTAGTTTGGAAAGAAGATTGATGTTTCTAATTAATTTGTGCATACATAAATCCTTACTAGTTGTGACTTTTTTTAGTGAATGTGAATGAACAGAAAAGCCAGTGATTAACTGTAAATATTAAGTAATACAAAGATTTTAAAGTTCAAAGCTTTTTTGTTTTCACTCCAAATATAAAATGGGTATTTTGCCTATGAGGACTCACAAATAGTTTCAATAATCTATTTGTTATGTGTAAGTTGTCGCCATCATGAAAGTTACCATCATAGCAACTTTTATTCTCGCTTAGAAAAGAGGGGTAAACATGAAGTCAGTCGATTTTAAGGTAATTTGTAGAATGTTCCTAGTTTTTTGTGCCTTAATAAGGAAAAGAGGCGGTTTATCAAGCCAATGGAAACAAATCCTTGATTTGTACTTCTGGTAAGCATGTATCCTTATTGTTCCTACTCACCCAATCCATGAGCGTCATGAACCCTAGTTTTTCTTTACATTCCTGAAATTTTAAATACTATTTGCAATTACTTCCTTTATCTGACTACATTTTGCATTTTATGTTCTCTGGGCAATTTCACTTGTGCCTATTCCCTGATAATTCCCACACTTTTGTCTCAAAGCTGCAGGTGGAATGTTAAGGTTTACGGGGTGGGGGGCGGGGGGCGGCGGGCGGCGCACATATAAAAACACTAACCTTAGTACTTGATTCCTAAGAACTTTCTTCACTCATTCTCTTAAAAAAATTATTTCACCTCTCATTCTACATTTCATTACCTGAGTAAGTCATACCCCAAACTTATTTCCCTATTTCTGTTCAAATCTAACGGGGTTCATATAGCAGACATCCCCTGATGGGCTAAACTGAACACCATAACCATATCGAAATAGTTGTGCTATTTCATACCTTCATGTCTTTGTTCACAACTCCCTGAAGTGTGCCTCTTCCTGCTCCTAGTTAATACAACTTGAGCCTTTGCCCCTGAAACTTTCCAAGTAAAATGAGCCATTCTTTACATTGGTGACCCAGGCCAATTTGTAGATGCTTTTTAGAGATTGATAACGCTTTTTTTTTTATTAGACACAGTTTAAAATACTTTTATTTAAAAAACAATACATTTTTGACCACTAGAATTTGGAGAAGAGATGAAAGGTTACAATTGCTCTGAAGCAAGGTTTCATCCTCTTATAAGGTGGGGGAAACAGGTCCAGCTGATGGGACAGATGGTTCTGCCTACCCCCCCCCCCACACACACACACACAAATGGAAAGAAAAAAACTGGCCTTATCGCTTCTAGGCCTTTTGCTGAGGTCGTGTAGTATCTGTTCTTATCTATTTAATATCTGATATGTCCTCTGAGGACAATATGTTAAATGTATTTTTGGAGCAGGGAGATGGAATAGAGCTTGCCTCGTCCACTCCGTGCATTGACCTGGTATTGCAGTACTTCCGGGAACAGTGCACCCAAAAAAATCCACAAAACTGGCCTTAGTTTTAGTCAATATCCATATTTCTCAAATCTAGAGGACATTGTAACCTATAAACTTCCAACAGTATATAAAACCAGTGACCATTTGAGTTTATAATTATTTGATGTGTTCAGGGTTTATCAAGGTGTATGTAGTATTGCTTGCTCTGATACTGGAGGACCCAATTTGTTGTGCCCTTGGGTTTAATTATTTTTGTCTCTTGCTGTCAGTTTTAAGGGCCAGTGTGCCAGCCTTTAGTAGCTATATGTGTTTTATGTGTCATGAGGTTGGCATTCCAGTAACAGGGCTTATAAAAATATGTGAAAGGAAATTTTGCAAATATGAGCTTTATAGCATAAACATGAATGACCCTTTTGTCTACTCTTAACACTTTTGGGGGTATTTTTCAGTGGTCATGGTCTATTTCACATTTGTTGAAACTCAAGTTCAAAGTAAGAAAATACTCTGAATTACCTGTGACTTTAACTGGATTTTGTTTTTATATGAAATTTTCTTCTGCCCCACCCCCACCCCTGACTTTAGTGTCCTCTAGGTGCAGAATGAAAAGATATCTGAGAATTGTTTGAAGGTATATATTAAATATACCTTAAAATATTAGGGTAAAACAACACACACAGCCTGATAAATTTAACTTTCTGAAAAATGAGTGAAATGCTATCTCTTCATCAGCAAGAGATTACTTAACACCAAACCTGAAATCCATATTTGCAAATAGTAGTCAAAAAAAACTATCAAGGGTTGTGGATACTTTAAATCAACTTCAATTATTAGTCTTAAGAAAAAGCCCTAGCCCAAGCATGTCAAGCCCACGGACAGCATGCCTGATTTATTTGGCCTGTGTTAGCGTTTGAGTTGGACATGCTTGCCCTAGCCGGTTTGGCTCAGTGCATTGAGTGTTGGCCCACAGACTGAAGGGTCCCAAGTTCAATTTTGGTGAAGGGCATGTACCTCTGCAGGCTCAATCCCCAGCCCAGGTTGGTCGGGGTGGAAGTGGGAGGCACCCAATTGATGTGTTTCTCTCTCTACCCCTCCCTTCCATTCTTTCTTTAAATAAATAAATAATCAGTGGAAAAATATCCTCGGATGAGGATTAACAAAAAACAAACAACAACAAAAACCAAAAAGAAACGGACATGCACATTTTAGACCTAGGAAAAGGACTGGTTCCCTTTGTTGTTGTTTTTAGATAGCTAAATTAAGTGCTGGTACATACTTAACTGAGTCTGATTAGCCATAATAAGATTAGTAATATTGTTTTATTTTTTTAGTAATATTTGTAACTATTCTAAGGAATACCTTTTACTAGATTATTCTCTAATGCACAAAAATGAGAAGTAGCATGTATAAGTCCTTTTTAAAATTATTAAATGATTCTTTCTCCTTAGAAAGTAACATAGTGTAATCAATTCCAAAAATTGTGAAAACCATGCACTTGTTTAACTCTCTCAAACCAGATTGCTTCTATCACCAGTAACTTGATTTCCTAAGGGGCAAAGTAACAAATGCTTTGATACATGAAGTGGTTTAACTCTGAATTCAAGGAAATTGCTACTAATTTGTTAAATAGTTGAATATTTATAGCAAGGTTAGAACTTAGCAACTAAACTCCTAGTAGGAATCTATAAACCTCTCCATCACATACTTTCCACACATTATGCCCAATGCCTGGCTCCTAATGTCTTTCTGATAAACTTTAATGTTGTTATGTAAAGTGAGAGAGAACCTGTTCCTTCAGTTTCGTCTAATCCCTCGTATTTAAGTTTTTAATGAAAGAAGGCTATGCTAAGGTAACAGCTCATTCTCGAAGAAAACTTATTTTGGATAAGCAAGAAATGCCAAGTTATTTTTTCTTATTCTGTACAATAGTAGAAACCTGAAAAGGTAGCAAAAAATATTCATTCTTCTCAGGTTTGTGTGATAACAATGATATGGTATTATCTAGGCATCTCTCCTGTGTCCTAAACACAACTTATCTAACCACATCTCTGCAAGAATTTCTGTGGATACTTTCTGTTTTTATTCCCATGCTCTCACTTTATGACCAGTTAAAGGGCAAATGGGAGTAAAAAGGATAAGAGGCTATATCAAATGAATGAAAAATACTTTAGAAAATTAAATGGCTGTAAGAAAAGATATTCTACCAATAAATCTGAAGTCAAGGGTTCACTTGTGCCATCTCTGGATTTTCTAAGTGTCTAAAAGTTAACTAACTCCCTTTTTCCACAAACTCAGCCTTTTGTGTCCATGTTGGTATTACTGGAAAATAAGACTATATGCAGTTATTTGCCTTTAACATTTTGTCAAAGTTCTGTATGTTTATGTGTTCCAGATGGGAGGGTCTTATATGACCTATAATATTTGATTACTAAGAATATTCCTTCTTAAAACTCCTTGGTTTATATGCTAAATATCCTTTGCTGGTTGATACTTCTGTCCTCCTGTTTTCATTAGTTGCTTTCTTCAGCTTTTAGTTTGGTAGTTCTCAGTGTTAGGTCCCCAGCCACCTTTTCACCAATTGTATTAATCAATTTTCACCCCTTTACCTATTGATGACTCCAGAATTTATCATCTCTGAACTCAAATAGAACTATTAAATATGGGTACTTCAAACTAAACAAATTCAAAACAACTTTTCTCTCTAAACTTTTCTCCTTGTATTTCCTTTTCTGGTTAATGGTTTTTTACCCTTCTAGCTTATTCATGTGATCAAACATCTTTTCAAAACAATCTTTTATGCTTAAAAGACTTTATTCGCCAGAGATTTGAAGATCAAGTCCAAACACTCTATAACATGCAAGGTTTTTCATCTAACCCCTCCTTATGAACCTCATGGACACCACTGAAATTAAAATGACCCAAATTTGAATATTTGCTCTTTCATTTCAAGTGAGACCTTAGGTAGCTTGCTTTCTGGGCCTCAGTTTCATATCCCATAGAACAGGTAAAATACTGTTTCATTATAGTGACTAGGGATTAAATGAGAAATAAAAGCTCTAGGAGCATTGTTGATTTGTAGTAAACTCAATTATCATCTCCTGAAAATGAGACATTTCTCTGTTACTTCTGTATCTATCACAGTCATGTTCATGTTACTCTTTTCTATGAGCCTGTGAGATGTTGATAGCTAACATGCAAAGTTCCTGGCATACAATAGGCACTCAGTTTTTGTTGGGCAAACAACAGATAATCTGATTTGATGCCAGATGTCTGAAAATTTTGCTGTAGCATGAGTTTATGGTAATGATAGCAAGTCAGTTGGATACATAATTGGATGCAAAATATTTTGGTTGATTCTGTCATATTATAAAAGTTTGGGTATTTTTTAAAAATACCTTTTACCAGTATTGTTAGCCCTCAAATTAGTTTCTGTCCATCATGTTCCTTTTTTCCTCAAATATGTGTGCCTTTCTTTCATTGTGTGAGGGAAAACTGGACCCTATTAATTTATAATGTAGTTTGGGGTTAAGCCATGTGGGTATAATTATTCAGCCAGGAACCCCAGTTCACGGGGTCTTGTGTTTTACAGTGGAATAGAATTTTTAGACTAGGAAGCAAAATATTTGTGGATTTCAGTGAAGGGGTAGGGGCAGTGAAGTATTTGCAGTAAGCGTGGCTTTATGTGCAAAGGCATAAACAGGAATAAAATTTTTATTGAACTTATTGGGGTGACACTGGTTAATATAATTATATAGGTTTCAGGTATACAATTTTACAATACACCATCTGTATATTGTATTGTGTGTTCACTACCCCATGTCGAGTCTCTTTCCATCACCATTTTCCCCCTCTTTACCATCTTCCACCTTCCCCTACCCCCTCTTCCCTCTGGCAGTCTGTGACTACTATAGAAAGTTCTAGTGATGACCTAGCTGGTTTGGCTCAATGGATAGAGATAAGCCTGTGGGAAGCGTCCTGGGTTCAATTCTGGTCAAGGGCACATGCCTGGGTTGCGAGCTTGATCCCCAGTGTGGGGCAGCCAATCAATGATTCTCTCTCATCATTGATGTTTCTCTCTCTTCCTCTCCCTTCCTCTTTCTGAAATCTTTTTTTTTTAACTAAAAAACCATGAGGTCATGTTCCTTGGAATAAATGTTACATTTGTAAATAAGAGTGCAAGTTTTTCCGTGCCATGCATTTTTATGAAATAACTAATTCATATGAAAATTAAAATATTTTAAGATATGAAATGAAGGGGCCAGATTACAAAATCAAGTTATGGAGTGAGGCTTAGAGAGATAAGAGAACAGCTAAGTATCCATTTGTAGTGTTTTAATTTACTTCTTTGAAAGAATTCTCAGTGAAAGGGGTTTCTTCATAATTGTCATAAAACTTGATATTTTAGAACTCACTAATTACAGCCAAACCAATGACCTTTTTAAAACTTGGGGTCTAGAATGTTCAGGTGAAGGTAAATGTATAGGATATTGACCCTTTTTGATTGAGGGAGTAAGAAGAGTTTTGATATCATGGGCTATTTGGACTTAAAGCTATGAAAATTTGAAAGTAGTTTCATCATTTAGGGTTTAATTTTTCATGCCCTTTCCAGGCTCTCTCTCTCTCTCTCTCTCTCTCTCTCTCTCTCTCTCTCTCTCTCTCTCTCTTTCTTTCTTTCTTTCTCTCTCTTCCCCCCCCCCCCCCCCCCCTCCTTAGCAGAACTTAACTTCCTTGCTTGCTCTTTATGTTGTTGACTACACATCAAGGAGGCATTGGGTACCGGAAGGCTTTGAGCTGTTTGGAAGAAAGGTACTCAAAAGTACAGGATAATTATTAATTGTAATAAACAGTTTTTTGTCAAAGGCGCATGTGTAACTCCCTTATATATTAGTAGCAGACAGCAACTAGATATCTTTGCAACAAGCGGGTTATATTTGTTCCTTCTAAATCGAGGTCTGCTTCATAAATTAGGTCTGGAGTCTTATTAGGAGCCTTTATAACAGAATGGTTAAGATGGGAAAAGCTCACATTCTGTATCCCTGGAA